GGAGCGATCAGGCAGGCAGGCAGGTGAGCGTTTAGAAGTCAGTGCCCCGGATTAGAGAGGGTGCAGGCTGGCCTGAGGGACTGCCCCCCCCCCACCCCCGCATGAATTTCATGCACCGGGCTCTCTAATATAGTCAATAACTATGTATGGGGTTCAGTAGGTAGTTGGAATACCAGGTTGGGGGGGGGGGGACCACTCTGTAAAGTACATGATTTCTAACCACTATGATATACAGTTGAAACTAATACAGAATCATAATGAATGTAAACTATAATTGAAAAAAGAAAGAAAATGACAGGAAACTAGTGGGAAAAACAATATGGACCTAATGGACCTATAATGTCCACAATGGGGAAAGGAAAAGTGAAATTGAGTAAAATAGAGGCAAGGAAAGTGAGTCACCACTGCACACCGTGAGGAAAGGAGCCCTACTCTTCAAGTAGTGTCTTTTCTTTGACTCCCCTCAAGGAACCCTCCACCCCCATGTCCACATTCCCTCCACACCTGATAAACAACTACTAGAGTAAGGATGGTGGCATTCCAGGAAGGAAGTGGAGCGGGGGTGGGGGTGGGCAGCAGGCACTGTCTGGCTTGGGGGAAGCATGCTCTTGCCAACCTGAAGGTCAATGCCTAGAGCTTCAGAAAGAAAATTCTCCACAGACAAAGCTGGGATGGGCTTTGGAGGAGATCAAATCTTATATCAATGAAGACTAAAGTCTCTCACTTATATGTGGAATCTAATGAAAAAATAAACTAAGGAACAAAACTGAAACAGAGGCATGGATACAGGGAACAGACTGACAGCTGTCAGGGATGTTGGGGGACTGGATGAAAGACAACAGTGTGGTGATAGCCAGAGGGAAGTGGGAGAAGAATGGGGGGTAGGAGGAGGTGGGCAAAGGGGGGGGGGGAATGGGGTCAGAAAGACACTTTGCTTGGGGGGATGAATACACGATACAGTGTGCAGATGATGTTTTATTGAGTTGTACACTTGAAACCTGTACCCCAATCAATTCAATAAAAGACTAAAGTCAAAGAGAAATGCCCTAACCGGTTTGGCTCAGTGGATAGAGCATCGGCCTGCGGACTGAAGGGTCCCAGGTTCAATTCCAGTCAAGGGCATGTACCTTGGTTGTGGGCACATCCCCAGTAGGGAGTGTGCAGGAGGCAGCTGATCAATGTTTCTCTCTCATCGATGTTTCTAACTCTCTATCTCTGTAAAAAATCAATAAAATATATTTAAAGTCAAAGAGAAATGCTGAGACTCTCCATACATTTTACCCACCCTCTGGTTCACCCTCACCTTCCCCTTTCCTATCAGCACATTGGCCTTCAATATCCCCTTTTGATGTTTTGGGTACCTCTTGGGTTTTTTTGCTCTTTTAACCTAAAACCAGAGAGCTCTGCAATCATCACTTTTCCTGACTCATCCCCATCTGACTATCCTGACCTTATCTCAGCCCTACACTTCAGGCACTGCCAGCCCTCCTCAGGGCACATAGGTGGCAGGGCCATTGTAGAGACCTCCATATCCCTCTTTGTTGACTGTCTCCTAAACAAGTGCCTGTAATTGGTGGCAGATGATTCCTACAGGCTGGGGAGCCAACAACATGAAATCCATTCAAATCTGGGCTATAAACAAGAGGGCTCTTTGGAGCATCCCACTGGGCCACGAAGCCTCAGGCTTCAGTGTTTATCGCTGGCCCCTGACTGTGTCACTATACAATCGGAAGTCTGATGCTGTCGGAAGGGGGAGGAGGGGGTGGACTCTCAGAATTCTGGATCAACTCCACCCAGTCCATAACTGCATCCTCACAAAGGGCAGGGCCTCTGCCAGCTGTCTCACCGCACAGGGCTCTCCAGGACACCTGGGACTCTGTGGTATTTTTATGGACATGTAGATTGAGTTTGGAAATGAAAATATGCTGTGCCCTAGTAAATAGGAAGCCTCCAAGTTAATCGTCCCCAAACTCCATATGCTCTTCTCATGCCCAACTGAGGAAGAACAAATCCTCAATTTAAGGAGGAGGAAGGTCAATTTCAAACCTTTTCATTGATTTTACTGCAAGTTTCTATGACTTGGTAGGAGAAAACATTTAGGGCAGAGCTTCAGGCAAACCCTGTTCTCCTAAATCAGGGGTGGGGAACCTTTTTCTGCCAAAGGGCCATTTGGATATTTATAACATCATTTGAGGGCCATACAAAATTATCAACTTAAAAATTAGCCTGCTACATTTGGTCAAACATGTAATTAACTCACCCCTAATGCCTTGGCAGGGCCAGACCAGATGATTTCTCAGGCCTTATATGTATGGCCCGTGGGCCAGACATTCCCCACCCCTGTCCTAAACCAAGTGATATTGCCAGACTTAAATCAAGCCCTGACAGAGGTGATATTAACTCTTTAGACAGACAGAGAAGAGGATGGGGAGGGAGGGGGGGGGGGAGAGAGAGAGAGAGAGAGAGAGAGAGAGAGAGAGAGAGAGATCAACAGTATTTTAAAATCCAGGGCATTAACATTATTTTAGTATCCATACAAATCAGAATCTTTTCAAATAACCTCAATTAACTCAGGGACCACAAAGACATAAATATAATATTGGATCACCCTATTCCAATTGTTGTTTTTAAATCCTCACCCGAGGATATTTTTCCATTGATTTGTAGAGAGAATGGAAGAGAGAGGGAATGCACAAGCCTGGGCCGGGGTGGAGCCTGCAACCAAGGTATGTGCCCTTGACCAGAATCAAACCTGGGACCTTTCAGTCCATAGGCCAATGCTCTATCCACTGAGCCAAACTGGCCAGGGCCAATTGTTGTTGTTTTTTAATGTAAAACCTTCCTATTAGATATATTGTCACCTTCTTTGAAATGGCTGCAAACAGCACCGGTTTATCTTTTATTTTAAACATGCACAGAATAGCTTTGAATGAAAGACACCTCATACTCATACCTCAGGTTGCATGTTATTATCCTGACTGTTGGCGTTCATGTCTTCACTGGGCTGGGTGGTCTCGATACTGGGGGGATTCAGAAACCGGCTCAGCTCCTGCTGCTGGCTCTCTCTCAGGCTGTGGATAATGCTGCACGACTGCTGCTGTTTCTGTGGAAATATGATTGTTCTTGCAGGAACGGAAAAATCAGCCCACCATCCTTCTGCCCCACCAGTCAGTCATATTTTCTTCTCTCTGCTCCAAAGACTGTAGGCTTGGTGACCTCTTAGGAAGTTTCAACTAATTTCGGAACTTTCAAGGGTCATTAACTAATTTCTTTTCTAGACTCCCATAAAGAAAGGCTTAGAGGCTTAGAATTGCTTACCCTTTCTATTTTCATTTGCATAACCATTGAGAGTAATGTTCACTGGCACTAGCTTGTGTTTTATTTAAATTAGAATTCTTAAATCACTAATGTTGTTGGTGATCTGATTTTTCCCCCTTCTTATTTTATTCTGTGCTCGCTAAGCCTATGTGGATCGCCCCTTTCCTCTAAGATGTAAGAGGCAGAGAGTCTTGGGTGCAAAAGTGAAACCCTCATTTTTGTCTTGGTTCTGGACTGGAGCGGGCCGGTCCAGTAGGCTGATCTGTCTTGGCACACACAGGAACCAGGGCAGCCTGGTGGTGGGCCTGCACTCCCTGAGCCCTTGCAGGGCCTCTGGACTGCAGATTCTATCCCTGGATCTAGCAGAGCTATGGTGGGCCAGCTGTGACAGGTGCCTGGCTATAGGAGATTGGGGTGTTGAGTTTCTCTGGGGCCCTTAATTCATCCAATTGAAAGATGTGTTTCTGCAGTTGATGTTGTTCTGAAAAACAGGATTTTAAAAATCTATTATGTAGAAATGGTTAGTGATTAATTTGATTTTCCCCGTGTGTAAAGCATAAGTCAAAAGCATTCATAAAATTAATTACCTAATAGAAATGCCCATTGTGAACACAGTGTATGCAAACACAGTTAATGCTCATGTTCATGGATTTAAGAGTTAGAGAATCTCATAGGCTTATAGGTCAGGAAGCAGCAAACAGATCGCTACACTCCCAGGAGAGGTGGTCTTTAATTAAAGATCACACAGAATTATCAACAATATGTTGGGGATTTTTAGGAACAAATGAAAAGTAGTTTTGTAAATTCAGTTGCCAGTCAATATGTAGAGATTGCTGGCAGTTTAAACAGCTGAGATTAATAAATGGGCAGCATGAATATTGTAATATCAACGAACTGCTTCTGAAACAGTCACACTCTATTATAAAAATGTGATTTAATGGAAGCTTCTTATGGACTCTGCTCAAGGGGGTACCACTGGATTTGGACTAGAGTTAAGGTTTGAATCATCATCTGACCATGGTAAGTGGAAGAAGTTGACATAGTTGAAGGGATATAAGGCTAATCACAGAAGGATCTAATCCCCTTGTTCAGGAAGCTCTGGAGGAGGAAATAAAATGCCAGATGCTTCTGGTTCACTCACGGCTCTGATGCGCTTTAAGCACTTCTTCAGCCACATGCGGATGGTCTGCTTGGCCACTTCCTCCTCAATGGTGTACTCCAGCTGCTCCCTGGCAAGCAGCTCCTCCAACTGCAGACTCTTGCGGATGTCAACCGACCGGTAGGAGAGCATGCTGTTGGGGAAATATAACAGCAATTGCAGCTCTGATTCACCTGGGATTTAGACTCTTAGAGATCTCAAAATCCAGGGAGGTCATCGCTCAGTCCTACCAGTGGAGCAGTCTGATGCCACCCTGACTAACTGGATGGCTTGGGCTAGTTAGGTCACCTCACTGCCTCTCTTCGCTCATCTGTAAAATGGGCATAGTCATGTACCTACTTTGTTAAATGATGAAATATGTTGATTTAGTGGGGTGATTATAACAGTAAGTTTTTGTAAAACCAAAGATCCAGGCTATGCCCTAATAATCAGCTGCTTAAGATTCTGGAACTTTCCCTGTAGAAGGATAACCGCTCTGTCTATTCACATTCAGCTCCAATTGGTGGTGGTTAATATGCTTGGCTGCAAGTTATGCATTCCCATCCCCCCATTTCCCTCTCAATTTATCTCATCTGTCCCCCTGGATCTTCCTCATTAATGTTGATGGTTGTAAAACCAGAGTGAAACATTCATTCCCATTCAGTCCTCGGTACAATAGATCCAGACGGCGGCAAATGAAACCAACACAGCTAATGTGTTGCATGGGGGCTCCCGGGCAATAAGGCAACTCATGTGTTCAGGCTGAGGAGTCCACAGCCAAAGGAGGATGCAGCCCCTTCTGGCAGCTTGGCGCTCCCTAGTGTGGCTGCAGGATCTCAGTTATTGCTCCATCCCTGCCTGGCCTGGGTGGGACCTCAGTTCCGTTTCCCTAGCCCAAATCACAGCATGGTGGCACTTGAGAGGCCCGTCCCCATGCAGCACGTGTACAGTGATCTCTACTTTGCTAAGTCTTTTCCCACCATGGAGGGAAAAAGTGCATTTGCTCTTTCTTTCTCCCCTGCCTCATCAAGAAGCTCATCATTGCTGAACTGTTTTCATCATACACTGGCTAGAAGGTAGGGAGAGGCCAACCATGCTACCATGGACTTTGCCTGGGTTCATTTTATCAGATGCATCACTGTGTCCCAAAGAGGCTGAATACAATATTAATGGCAGTGGTATGCCTAGATGCCTCGTTTTCAGCCTAAAAATAATTGTCACTAGAAGAAAAGACTGACATTCCGAAAGAGTTGTCATTCTTTGCTATTCATCTGTGTTTCCTGCCCCATCTTTTTCTGCCTTTTCGCTTGTTCCTGGAAGAAGTGAATAGTGGGAGGTAAAATTGAGACCTTGAAAGAACACCCCCAGATCCTTCCTCTCCTGGCATTTTTTCAAATTCCAATCATAATTATATTTCTGTATACCTGATTGCTCCTGAAATTTGTGACTCAATACCCACTGTTTAACTTGCCAGTTACATGCAACATGATGAAAATAGCTGGTGCTGGTAGAGGGTTCTTAACCTTTTCCATGGCATGAATCCCGTTGGCAGGGGAGCCCATGAGACATTTTTTAGAATCATGTTTTAGATGCATAAAATAAAATACACATTATTTCAAAGGAAACCAATTGTGTCAAAATAGAGTTCTCAAGCCCTAGCTGGTTTTGCTCAGTGGATAGAGCATTGGCCTGCGGATCAAAGGGTCCGGGGTTCGATTCCAGTCAAGGGCACATGCCAGGGGTTGCAGGCTCGATCCTCAGCAGGAGGCAGCCAATCAGTGATTCTCTCTCATCGTTGATGTTTCTATCTCTCTCCCTTTCTCACTGAAATCAATAAAAATACATTAAAAAATAGAGTTCTCAAATTATTTTCTTGGAAAGGAGTAATATAATAAAATAAGTGCTTCTTTATTAATGCATCAAATAATAACATTTAGCTGAGGTCAAATGATTACCATAAGTTAGAAGTACCGGTGTGCATTAAGGATATTTTAAGATATCAGCCATAGCAGTAATGTGACCTGAAAAATACCTATGATTTCTACTGATGACAAAGACATGGGTATTGCTAATATTAACATGGTTTGTTGACTGCATGCATCATAAAAAAGAATGCTGCATTTTAGTGAGTGAATAGTCAAAGTAAAGAAGTAATTGTTTTCCTCTCCAAGGCCATGACCTTCTGAATATTATCCATGGGCTCCTGTTTAAGAAAATTTCTGAGTTGATTGTTCTCCCCCTAACCTCCCCAAAATATTTTAGGGTCCGAACCCTCAGTACCTCAGAATGTGATCTTATTCCAAAACAGGCCACTGCAGATATAACTAGTTCACATTAGGTCATACTGGAATGGGGTGGGTCCCTCATCCAATATAACCGGTGTCATAGAAATGAAAATCTGGACACAGACCACACACATGCACAGTGAGAACACCATGTAAAGATGAAGGTAGAGATTGGGGTGATGCTTTTACAAGCCAAGGAAGGCCAAAGATGGCCAGCAAACCCCCAAAAGCTGAGGGAGAGGGTGGAACAGTTTCTCCCTCATGGCCTTAAATGGAACCAACTCTGCTGACACCTCCATCTCAGACTTCCAGCCTCCAGAGCTGTGAAGACAGTAGTTGTGTTGTTTAAACCATGCAGTGTATGTATTCCATTACAGCAGTCAGAGCAAACTAACAGAGTAGCCTCTCCGGCCGTAGTGTGCCCTTGTCCTGTCTGGATCCTCACCACACGTCTGGAAACCGTGGTTTGTCAACCTGCCTGGGGCACCCATGACACAGCAGCCCAGGCAGATTCCTGCCTGACCCACAAGTGGGAAGATCTGAATTTTAGCTCCAGCTTGGCCTCAGGGGCTGAGTGTCAGCAAGTCACTCATCTCTTCTGGGCCAGTTCCTTCCTTAAAACAGGAAGGGTGGGCCCGAGCTCCCGAGGTCCCTCCGCGCCCCTCCTTCAGGAGCCCCCATTCTGGAAGGGGCACTTCTGGGCCCCTCAGGCCACTCCTTCCCCCCCCCCCCCGCCCCCCGGAGGCGCTCACCTGAACACGACCAGTAAAGTTCAGCGAGGAAGACCACATGGAGTCTTCTAACCACAGCAGATGTGGCATTGTTAGGTTCAGAACGTACTTGTTAATTGCATTTCACGAGGCCTTTCATGGTCACAGCGTCAGTCTCGACTCTGTTCAGCTCTGGGGCACAGAGCTGTGACCCCCCCCCGCCCCCAGTACCTTAGGACATCGTGGAAGGTGACGTCGCCGCCGTTGTGCAGCCTCTCCATCTCGTAGCACATGTGCTTGAACAGAAGCTTGTCCTTGTCCAGGTCCACCTCCAGCCGCCCCCGCAGCAGCCGCAGCAGGAACTTCACGCGGAAGGTCGGGATCACCCCCTGGTGGCAGAGCACAGCAGCTCGGCATGTAAATCATCATTAGGCCACAGGGATTCTCTGGGGCTCTGTTTTCACACCTGGAGCCATTTCTCAAAAGATGGCCAATGGCACCGGAGGCAAGGAAGCTGTTCATTTTCCCGAGGCTGGCTGGGAGATAAAAGCTGAGCACTTCCTAGGGTGTATAAATGTTTAATCACTATGTTGTACACCTGAAACCAATATCATATTGTATGTCCACGGTAACTAAAAAATAAATTTAGCCCTGGCCGGTGTGGCTCAGTTGGCTGGGTGTCCTCCTGTGCATCAAAAAGTTGCCAGTTCCATTCCCCGTCAGGGCACGTGCCCGGGTTGTGGGCTTGATCCTGGGTGGGAGTCATACAGGAGGCAGCTGATCCATGATTTCCTCTCACATTGATGTTTTTCTCTCTTCCTCTCTCTCTAAAAAGCAATAAAAATGCTTAAAAATATTAAAAAGTGACAAAAAATAAAGACCTGAGCACATAGTTTCTGCAGGTGCGCCTCTAGTTCTGTAGAGTTTCACAACCACTAAGCATTTGCAGCCAAGGAGGGAGGAAAGCTCTCCCTCTGCCTGTCCTGGACAGACACTAACCTGACTAGGCTTTTCTTTCTTCTTCTTCTTTTTTTAAAATATACTAGAGCAGTGGTCGGTAAACTGCGGTTTGCCGACCACGGTACTAAAGGCCTGATGCACAAAATTCGTGCAAGCATAGGCTTTCCTTTCCCCGGCTGCTGACACGGGCTTCCCTCCAGCACCCGGGACCTGGGCTTCCCTCGCAGCCCCAGCTTCGTCCAGAAGGTCGTCCGGAAGGATGTCCGGAAGGACATCCAGTCTAATTAGCATATTATGCTTTTATTATTATTATAGATAGTTTTATTGAATTCAGAGAGGAAGGGAGAGGGAGAGAAACATCAATGATGAGAGAGAATCATTGACTGGCTACCTCTTGCACGCCCCCTACTGGGGATCGAGCCCACAGACTTTTCTTTCCATACCCGTGCCATTGACTCAGCCTTGCCGGGTGCTCCTCTAACACACGTGCTGAGTGGCTCAGGAATGCTTTATTTTAGCACAAGAAATGAAACATACACATGTACATGATCCATTTCTCACCGAGTTCAGATACTAGGAGCTTGTAAACGTTTATTATAAGTTGTTCTTCTGTGGAATGAACACTCCTTTTCAGTTCTCCTCCATTATTAGAACAATTACATACAAGTGAACTGGGTTCCCAGCTCTGCCCTCTTCTTGCTCAGAGCAGCTCAAGATTGTGAAATCTTCCATGTATCACTCTCTTCCAGGCAACAGAACCTACCGTGCCAGCCTGGCTGTGTCTTTAAACCAGGTATTGAGTGAGAGGCAGGGACATTGATGGGCCATGAGTTCCTGTCAGTTACTAACATCTTAACATGTGAGCGGTGGTGCCATCTTACATGTGTACGTCAGAGGAAGGCATGTTCCTGTAGGCAGCAGTCATAGAGATCAATGGGGCCAGACACCTGTACATGCAGGTCACTGTCCTGGAAGAAAATCCCCAACACTGGTGCCTGGACGAAGTGGGGGGACCAAGGGAAGAACAAGCAAAGGGGGTGGAGAAAGCCATGCCTGGTTGTGCGGGCCCCAGCTCTAGACCAAGATAGCCCGTTTACTCAGCCTGTTCTGGGCCCTTAGTCTTCATGCCTTCAGTCAACTCTTCCTGAAACTATTTTCAGATCGTCCCCAAGATCTTCCCATGGCTGATCTCTCCTCCTTTTTCAGATATTGGATCAAAGAGACAGGCCTTCATGACCATTCCTGCTAAAGTTGTCTGCTCCTGACTCCAATCGCTCTCTACCTTATTACCTTCTTCAGAGTGTTTATAGGTTTTGAAATTGTAATGATTATTTCACTTTAATTTTGTCTCCTGTATTAGAATAGGAGACCTGTCCATCTCACTCATTGGTATATCTCCAGTGCCTAGAGCAATGCCTGAGTGTCTGCTGGATGAAGAATGGGAAAGAGGAGGAGGAGCAGGAAGCTGCTGCTGCTTTGGCTAATTCTAGTAAATCTTGGGTAAGCTTCATTATTAAAACTGACCAATACTAAGCCCAAAATAATTAAAAGTAGTAACTTTAATAAATCACTGAAATAACTCATTTGCACTTGTAATCAGGATTACTCTTTTAGGTTGAGGTGATCATGAATTTGTACTATATTGTTACTTTGATCATTTGAACTTCATCCCTTCTCTTGCCCCGAGCCCAGGGCTGGTTTCTTCAGAGCTCCCTTGGTTTCCTTTCTTGCCAACATCTGAATGCCAGAAGAAGAGGACATTCTTAGTTGGAAAGGACACAAGAGGGATCTATTCTGTCCTTCTCCCCTCCTAGCATATTCTGCTGGATTGTCGATGACAGCCTTCTGCAATTCACCAATGGCCCCTCAAAATTCAATATCTGTCCATGCCAACAACAAAACCATGTCTGAGATAGGGTAGTAAGTCTCATTTGAGTGGGGTGTGAAATGGCAATCCACTCGCCTACCTCTCGTTTATCATCCACCATATTCCATATGATCTGAAAGTGGCGAAGATCATTGTAACTTAAAAGCTGGTCCTCCTCAGTGGAATAAAACAAGGAGAAATTCTCCACAATTATGGCTAAAAGGAAAAAAAATGGTGAGTTTAGACAATTATCTAAATTGTCATCTGTCATTTTTTAGAAACTGTAAAACATCTATTATAAATAATGAATTGTATCAGCTACATGATAAGCCAAATTTTTAAAGTGCTTTTAGTATGGCTTCCAAGTTGGCATGTTTTACACTTGGACTAAGCTATTTCTCTAGCTCCTGGCTTTCCAAAACATGAGGGTCATGAGCATAAACACACATTCTGTGTATATAGACGTTCATGCCAGCTGGCTTTCGCTGGTAGCTGAGAGTTCCAGGACAGTTTTTAAAGGTCAAATTGAGTTCTGGGTGGCCTCACAGCTGGGTGAACAACATGTGTCTTTCAAAAACATAAATGTGACATTTCAAGGCTATAAAGGTAACCCTCTCAACCCCCGATATTTGTTCACCTCAATCCATGAGAGCTCTTTTGAGATTAATAATCATAATAAATAGGACAACTCTTGAAATTGCAATCAACTGTCATTTACATGCCTTTCAAAAGTCTTTTCAGCTTTTGAATGGAGAGAAAACAATTTATAATTAATGCCATGAAACACCCACCCCAAGCAATCCAGGATAATTACTTGAAAATTATACCTAATTATCTAAGTACCTGAGTTTAAAGAGGTTTTAAAAAATATGCAGCGAACATCACTTACCTACAAGTAAATTTAGCATGATGTAGGCAATGATGACATAAAACGAACAGAAATACATAAGTGCCCCAGCATAATTCCCACAGTCTGTTGCCCAGTATGTAAATTCATCTGGAGTACAAAAGGGTGGCTGGACCTGCGGGGCAGTGGGAGGGAGAGAGAGGAAAGAATGACAGCAGAGAAGAATACAAATTTTTGTTAACTGACTGTAGTTAATGAACATAATCCTGACCCATGTAAAATATAATAATTAACTTCAAAGTAATCTCTGAAGCTGCATGTGTTAGATGCATCATCTGTGGCAAAAGTAAAAAGAATATTTCACTTATGCTATGCTTTTCGTCTTGCAGAATCCCAAGTTCATTGACATTTTAGAAGCCTAATGAAAATGAACCGGTTTCCTCTAAGACAGCGGTTCTCAACCTGTGGGTTGCGACCCCTTTGGGGGTCGAATGACCCTTTCACAGGGGTCGCCTACGACCATCAGAAAACACATATATAATTACATATTGTTTTTGTGATTAATCACTATGCTTTAATTATGTTCAATTTGTAACAATGAAAATACATCCTGCATATCAGATATTTACATGACGATTCATAACAGTAGCAAAATTACAGTTATGAAGTAGCAACGAAAATAATTTTATGGTTGGGGGTCACCACAACATGAGGAACTGTATTAAAGGGTCGTGGCATTAGGAAGGTTGAGAACCACTGCTCTAAGAGATGCTCTGTCTGCCACCTGCACTAGCCCCAAATGATAATTTGTCATTGTGATCAAACTGCAGAACGTCAAACAAAAGAGCATTTAATTTTTTTTATCTGATTTAAGTAATGGGGTAAGATTTTAGGAGGATTTGTTATACACAACAATTTCACATTCAAATTGTGTGAGGAGAAGCCAGTGATCCTTATTCCAGCACCATTAGGGGATGTTGGGACATTCCTGGCTCAATAAAACGGCAACACCTCTGAGAAACCTCCTGGTGTCTTTCAGCCAGAGTCTAGCTCTCTCTTCCACATTTCCATGGCATTCTGCTGCTTCTTTACTTTGAGTTTATTTAATTCTGCCTAGTATCATATTTGATTTGTCCCCATTCATTCATGCATAATGATCTTGAGTTCCTACTATGTGCTAGGTTTCTGCTCAGCATTGGGGACAGACTGGTAAGCAAGACAAAGACCCTGACCCTTCTTCATGTTGCTGACAGTCTAGAGCTGTGCAGTCCAACACGGTAACCACTAACTACTCCAACACGGTAACCACTAACTACTTGTGGTTATTTAAATTTACATTCATTGACATTAAATACAATGGAATACGATTTAAAATTCTAATGCTCAATAACCACATGTGGGTAGTGGCTACTGAATTGGACAGTGCCAATGGCCATCATTGCAGAAATTTTTTTTGGATATTGCAGAAATTTTTTTTGGATAACATTGATCTGAAGGATGAGAAAGAGATGAAATAAACTAATTAAGCCAATAACTCACAATAGTTGTGAAACACGTGAAAAAAAGATAAATATAGAGTGCTGTAAAAACATGTAACTTGCAGTCTTCACATAAGGCAGGATACCTGAAGGATGATAATTAGCCTAGAGAAGAGAGAGTATAGGTCAGAGCCCCCAGCTCCTCGAGGGTGCCTTGGAGTCACTGAAGACCTGGCACCCAGTATATGGCTCAGTATAAACCAGGGGATTTGTGAATATCTGTTGAATAAATTGAACTAAAGAAGCAGAATTCTCCTGTTTGTACTTAACTGCCAAAATGTTAAAGGTGGGAGGGAAAGAACAATGCCTACATAATGAATATTTATTGAATGAAACTATGATAGTTCAAGTTGAGTTCACTGGATACTCTTCCTGTATGTCCACACACTGTAACGTAAAAGACAGCAATTTTATGGACTAAAAGGCCAGAATATGTGTTTTGTACGCAAAGCCTTGATGCTAACAAGGAGGCTACTGCCAATGTTGCATAGCCAAAGAGCTTCAAATGATTCTAAGCTAAGGCACTGTTATTGACAAAGAGATATTTACCATACAGTCATGCATAATCTTGTTCCAGTCTTCGCCCGTGACAATTCGGAACAGTACGGTAATAGCTTTGCCAGCTGAAGAGAAGTTTGCATGCCTAAATTAAGGAAAAAGAGAACAGAGGTTGAGTCACATAGTTGTCATGAAGTAGTAAGGTCTGCTACTACCAAAGCAGGTGGATTTTGGAGCAAATTTGATTGCCAAGTAATCATTTCCAAAGGTTACACTATCTTATTTGTTTGTTATATATACTTGTCTCAAGTATAGCTGTCTTAATAACCCACCCCTTGCATGGTGCCACCAATTTCTTCCCATTCATCTTGAATGACCGAGGGAGCAAGCTTTGACAATATAAAGTGATTGTTTCTTTCATGTGGATTATGCTATAAAAGGTGGAGCTGCCATGTGTCAAATCAGTCATCTCTGCAACAAGACACATCTGTATATAATTGGTTGTGTGAGGACTTTTCTATTTTAAATTATAAGATGCTTCCACAAAATTTAAGGCTATCTTTGAAAAATGCTTTTCATACATAATAACATTGGGCGGGGGGCGCTTCTAACTTTCCATGCTTTGCTAAAAAAGAAAGAAACCAGTATCATCTCAAAATTATTTACTTAAAAATAATATATCATTTTTGGTAGCGTGTGGTTAGAAAAAGTGCTAGAATTCACCAGGTTATCAGGAGTGGTTATTCCTGCATGGTAGAAAGTTATGGATTCTTTTATTCCTGAATTTTCTAAGGTCTCTATAGTAAACATGTATACTGCCTTCAGTTAGAAAAATGTCATTTAAAATTTGGCCTTTTTATTTTGTTTTAATTTCCAACGGATTGCTTCTTCCTTCGCCTCCATCTTTGATAGACAAAAACCATTCAGGTGCTTATTCATGACTTTATTACTAAAAAAGCTTGCTTGATAAATGAATAGAAAGATAAATACACACCGACCTGTTAATGTTCTCTCCATATTTCACAGTACCAAATAAGACAACGCCAGCGAAAGCGTAACACAGCAGCAATAGGAACATTCCTACGATGATAAAGAAGCTTTTATACATGCTGACGACCACCGTCAGGAGGAGCATCTTCAGCGTTACCTGTATGGAGAGGGAGATGGAGAGAGATGGGCGGAGAGAGAATATGAATATTCAATTCATTAAGCTGAGGAGAACATGGGGAGTAAATAACATTTAAGCATGTTGAGGGGCATAAGGATGACCCTCAGGATATCGTTTGAAAATTGTTTCCTATTAGCTATTAAATCTGAATATTGTTCAGAAACCCTTAGACAGAGAGAAATCCTACTTGTATGTCAAACTGTTCAGCCTTTTCAGCCAAATTAATAAAAGTTCAACTCAAAGGTTTTTAGCCTTCATTTTCTCTTCTCTTGCTCTCTAATTCACTATGGTAAGGGCTATACACTTTTTGGGCTGTAACAAGTAGACTCAGTATTCTTCTACCAATAGATGCTCATAAGGACAAACCTAAACAATGGTAAAATATTAAGTAGCATTAAGTATTAAGTGTTCATTATGTGCATTCCATATGATGTAATGTCAGAATCAAAAAAGGAAAAAGTACTTTAAAAAATGAAAATATATGTGGAATGTATGTATGAACATTAATAAAGAAGATAAAGAAATATGGAATCATAGAATTATGAATGTTCATTAAGGATTATTTTTCTTTGAAGTAAAATAACTTTATTAAAAATAAAACTAAAAATAAAGACATATTAAGAAAGACCACTGGTTTTTGCTTTCATGCCTGATATGTTATTTTTAGTTGATAATTGAATTTACTTAGAAAATATGAAGAATAAATAAAACATCATAAATATCAGGAAACATTACAAGATAACTAAGCTACTGATTCATTTTAATATTTAAAATTTACTCATTTGGACTTTAATGGCTGGCAATTTGTTAGCTACAGCATAGTGACCAGAAGGACAGCTGAAGTTAGTCAATGCTTTTTTCTTTATTGCATATGCAACCTTTGATGCTGTTCTTTACAGCATACTTACATGCTTTCCACAGATCGAGAAAAACCTAAAGACAATCACACATGCGCCCATCATGTAGGTATATGCATTCTGAAATTTAAACAGAAAAGAGCCTCTCATAATTTGCACAAAAGATCTTGTTAAAATTCCCTTTTTCATTTCGGGTCTTCTGTGAAGTCTACTGAATAATTAGTTTAATAAAATGTAAAAAGTATCATAAGAAATTTATCTTAAAAATGTGCTGAAAAGGTCACTGCCAAAACTCATGAATAAATATTAACTATAAAATTAAATCTTAAATTAAATTTTGGTCTCTGTTTTGCTCAGCTGAATTCTGTATTTTAAAAGTTATTTTTACATAAAATAATGGCTAGTTTCTTTGAGGAGCAAGAATAATCTAGGATAACAATGCAACACAAGGGAGTCAAGTGAGACAGGAGATAAAGGAATCATGGCAGAGGGAGCTTGGGTGTTGGAAAAGATTGCTGGAGGTCAGATTCCTTCTCTCTGAAGGCTTCTGGAGACATCTGGAGACCAGCTGGCCACATGTCCATTAGTCTAAGATGATTTCAGAGATGTCCTCCTTACTCAAAAACACATTCAGTATGTGATCAAGAGATGACTTGGTGTGCTTTATGACTAAGAAAGCTTAATCTGAGAAACAAAGATCCCACTGACTAACTGCAATAATAACTGTGGCATTAAGCTGATGCCAAAACGTGATTTTTCTTGAGGTTCCTTGCCTAGGCAAATGACAAGTCACAGATGGGCACCTGGGAAGGGGGTCCAGTGAGATATCTGGTGTGGCGCAAGGAAATGAATGTGTCTGCACAGAATCATCTTTGGATGGGAACAAGCACTGCATCATCCTTCACAGTAGTCCACTGCACAATAGAGTGGAGGATGAGCATGCTTCCAGGACCAGAGGTTCTTGGAGAAGAACCAAAGCAATGGGGCAGAATAGGCAAGTTGGTCTTTTGGTGTGAGAGCTCCTCTCTGGGGACATGTAAAATTAGGAAGCTTACTCTATTCTTTTGCTTGGACTGAGTAGCTTTTAGTTGCAATTTGGAGATATATAAAAACCTGGGCCTTGCTGCCTCTTCTCTCCACGTGAGCACCAAACCTACTATAGATACCTACTTGCTTTACATTCTAGAAGTGATAACACCCAACAGCTTCTAGGATGATGACCCAAAACTTTCACTTGGACTATAAGATCCTGAGAGGTCTGACACCTTTTTACCCATGCAGATCTTGTACCTTGTTCCCTTTGCTCCTCTCTAATAGTGCTGTCTATTCCACTGCACCCTTCCATTCTAGAACATCCTAAAATATTCTCTCCTCCTCCTCCAGACTGATCCCAATTATCACTCCCTCAGGATGCCTTCCAGGACCTCCCTGATAAAGCCATCTACTATTATGTGTTGTCACAGCAACCTGTGTCTCTCCTCCATCTCCTTTCCATAGCTGTAATTCTCATAGACTTGGGAGCATTCAATGGATGCCTACCTAACTTCCCAGGCTGTGTGGCTCATGAAAGCAGTCACTGTCTTTGTTTTATTCATTACATTCTTCTCAATTCCTAGCACTGTGACTTGCACATATGTAGTACTCAAAACCATTTATTGTTTGAGGAAATGAATCAGGGTGACTGAGAGCCCACCTGGGCTTGGCACAGCCCCTGACTCTGAAGTTAATAACTGTCTTAAAAAGGACACTCAATATCTTTCTGAGCACAGCAATTACATACTAAAACTAGGCCTTTGTGATATGTAAATGGGCTCTGTGTGCTAGGGATCTTTTCTAGAGGACGAGAGAATGAATAGAAGAGAGCAGGGGGAAATAGATAATAGTATTTTTGGGTGGGATCAAGGAAGACTAAAAAAAAGAAGATATTTATAATAATGTGTTATGGTTTGTTTAATCTTAACAATTAGAAAAACTTCACATTCTTTGATCTTCATAATGTTCATATGAAACCTGTAGATTATGAAATCATATTCCTAGTTCAGAGCAGGAAACAAAAGATCACTGAAGACAAATAACTTGATCAAGGCTGAAAAATGGTGGACCCTAGACTAGAATTTTGGGGTATCGAGCATGGTAACCACTACCACATGCTATTATTGAGCACCTGAAATGTAGTGAATATAAATTAAGACATTCTGTAAATGTAAAATACACATTTAATCAATGATTTAGTACAAAAGAGAGCATGTAACATCTCTCCTTCATAATTTTTTAACTTTTAAAAATATGACTTTATTGGTTTTAGAGAGAGGAAGGGAGAGGGGCAGAGAGATAGAAACATCGACCGCTGCCTTCTGCACACTCCCTCCCAGGGACTGAACCCACAACCCGGACATGTGCCCTGACTGAGAATCAAATTAGTGACCTCTTGGTTCATGGGTCATTGCTCAACCACTGAGCCACACCAGCCAGGCCATAATTCTTTTTTTATATTGCTGACATGTTGAAATGATAATACAGGTTGGGACAAAAGTAGGTTTACAGTTGTGAGTACACAAAACACAGAATTTATTCTTGTACTATTACTTATTAATTATAGTATTATTTTCCACATGAACAACTGTAAACCTACTTTTGCCCCACCCTGTATTTTGGATATGGTAGGTTTAAATTAATGTTATTTGTTTCTTTTCCATATTTTAAATGTGGCCCCTAGAAAATTTAAAATTATATTCATGGCCACATTTTACTTCTATTGTACAACTATGAAATTTTCAACTGAAATAAACAATTTACACCTACCAGGAGGGCAAAGTGAAGTACCACCCAGACAATGCCGAGTGAGGTCACCAGCAGGTCATATCGATTTCTTCTGCTTTGCCAGAAGCCTGCAGGTGACATTGCTATGATCTTCATTGTAACCTGAGAAAAACAGTGAAGAGAGTAAATCGAGACTGTTTAGTACATATTTAAATGTATTAACCTGAGTCACATGATTTTTTTTAAAAGGTAGCAACCAAAGAGACAAATTTATCACATATATAAAAAAGCTGAGTAGGTAACACATATATATTCTCCACACTCTTTTCTCCTTGTTTTATGACTAGTTTGATAGCAGGACATTTTTCTTCCCCAAGTAAAAGACCATAGATTTTGGGAAACATCAACCAGTTCAGGGTGAAATAAGAATCTGCTTGTATTTCAAAGAGATTGTTGGAAGAAAAAGACTATCCCTGGAAAGTAATATGATATGAACCATATATTAAAATCACCTCTGAGTCAATTCCCTTTACCACCACATTGCAATTTGAGTCCCTGAATTACAGTGGTCTGTACAGTTTGCCCTAAATATTTGAACTCAGATAACTAGACAGGCCGTCATTCTGATACAGAAATTAACGGCAGTGTGCAATTCCTGTGGTTAGAAAATTCCAAAATATAAAGTGAAGTCTTTGTTCAAGTTAAACTGAACAGACTCAAAAGGAAATACCCTAAGAGCACACTATCCCCCTCAAAAAAAAAAAGACTTCAAAAGCAATGGGGCACAGAGTTGAAATAAGGACCATCAAAGGAGGACACTGTCTTACTTTAAAATGTGCACTGTCCCCCCTCCCCCACCCCCCAAACCCACTGACTCATTACGGTACCTCGAGAACAAAGATGAAGGTGAAAACAACTGACATTGTTGCCAAAGGAACAGTCACTGGGTCCTCGACGTCCCACTGTATAGGAAACAGCACACACGTCTTTGCCTAAATCCATCGGGCGTTGGGCACAGAAAAGCCCCCCCTCCTCTTCCTCCCATTTGAACACAATTGTGAATTTAAAAATTTTATACTAAAGAGCGCAGATCCTAGTAGATTTGGCCGTCTGTGATATTCTTGGATGCAGCCATGAGTAAGAAATTCATTCCCAGAGTCTAAAGGTGAAACCAAGTACCTTGACAGAGAGCAGTACCGACTGGGCCAGGACGAGTAAAGCAATTGTCCTCTTAAAAAACGGGTGCTGGGTTATGTCATACATCTTGGCTCTAAAGCCATCATTATCTGGAAAAGAAAGGTTTAGGCAAGGGAACTTTAGACCTAAGTCACATTTACTTTCTTGCCTTTCATTTTCTTTAATGCTCATCATAAAACCCATCACATTTCCCCACCCCCATGGCTCAATCTATTGTGTAGTGTTTTGCAGGAATGGCTGGCTCTGAATATTTAAAACCATGGTGCATGAAGCCGTCCGTATCAGAAGGAGAACCGCATCATTCAATTTCTGTCAGTTTAATACATTTCACTCATATGTTGAAAAGGCAAGCACAAATATTTTATTTAAAAATTCATTTTTTCATTAAGGCTTATCCTGAGAGCGCTGAAGCACAGCCTTTGGGTGGTTGATTTTAATAGCCTTTGGAGAGATCTGTGGTTTGGAGCCTGTTTCTATATTAACTTATGCACAACCACCTAGTGGCCTCACGATTATTATTTTAATTGAAATCTTAGACTCCTGGGGAATCATGAACACTAGTGCCCAACATGAATAAAATCAGAGCATCTTTGATACCCGGGCGAGGTGGGAGATGAAGAGGCTGTGCTATCTTCAGTCGGCTCTTCAGATCTTCCCATCTTCTCTGATCTACAGTCAGCAGAGCCGTCCCCTTAATAAACAAAGGAAAGCAGAAAAAGGCCTTTTGTCGTGTACTCCACGCCAAGGACATTGCACATGGGGTGGTGATACAAACAGGACTAATTTGGGGGTTTTAAATAAATATATTCTTCAAATCCTATGATGGTTTGATAAACAGGGTCAGAATTCTCAAATTTGGTCTTGAGAGGGATGGCCAAAAGGGATGGCCACAAGGTTCGAAGCAGACCTTCAATGGGCATCTTTGAACGCTTCCCGGGTTTGGGGAAATCTAAAGAAGGTTTTCTGCATGATTAAATTTTCAAAAAAGGGATCCTCACTCTAATAGTGATTAGCTTCCTTTCATTTCATAGCAGAAAATGCTGCAGCAAAATTATAGCTTGCCAATGCTACTGCTTCTGGATAAGTGTATTTTGCCTTAAACATGCTTTTGAAAATCATTCTGATATGTGCAATTGCAAAATTATTTTTAAGTGGTATAAAGCCATAGAATTTGGATCTTTAAGAAATTACTATGACAACTGGCTAAATGAGACTAGATATGCTTTATTTTATCATAGAGTACTTCATTAAAATGCACATACATATGTTACATTTTATTACAGTATAGTATTGGAAGTATAATTTAAGAAACCAAGAAAAAAAATACCCATTCTTCCTTTCTTTCTCCAGAGCTCAGGGACCATCCTTCAGAGATACATCCTCAATAGGTATGACTCAATACATAAAAATGTATTTGTCTTGAATTTAAAAATTTTATATAATTGGTATTCAATATGTGCTTATCTGTGCAATTTGTTTTTACCCTCATTGAACAATTCTTGTCATACAACTAGATACTAGATCTAATTGGTTTACTTTAACTGCTCATAGAGTATGCCATTGTACAAATATATCAGAAGTTACTCATTTTTGGTTTACAGACTATAAACAATGCTGCAATAGACACAAATGTACTGGCTCATGATAAACACCTACGTGCCTTCCTCCATGGCAAATCTCTAGGAGAGGAATTGCTGGGGTCTAGAAATTTATACATCTTTACATTTACCAGATGTTGCCAAGTTCCTGTCCAAAGAGGAATAAGCATGAACATTTGCCACTAGCAATTATATTCTTGTTAATGCTTGACATTATCAGGCATTTTAGTTTGGTCATTTGATGTGTGTGTGAATGTATCTAGTTTGAACATTAATGAGATGAAGCATTTTTTATTTGTATAAGTGGTGATTCCTGTTACTTCCTTTGGAAATCGCCTGTTCATATTCTTTGCTCATTTTTATATATTTACTTTTTGATGTTTTGTAGACATTTTCAATATATTCTGGATACTTTTTGTAGTTATTTGAGTTGTAAATATTTTCTCTTAGTCTTTGCTCTTTTTTTTTTTAAATCCTCACCTGAGGATATTTTTCTGTTGAATTTTAGAGAGAGTGGAAGAGAGAGGGAAAGACAGAGAGAAATAACGATGTGAAAGAAACACATCAATTGGTTGCCTCCCGCACGTGCCCCGACCAGGGCCAGGGCCCGGGAGAAGCCTGCAATTGAGGTACATGCCCTTAACTGGAATTGAACCTGGGACCTTTCAGTTTGCAGGCTCTATCCACTGACTAGGGCTTAGCTCTTTTTTTTTTTTTTTTGAAGTCTTGTTTTTATCATTTAGACAAAATGTGCCATTTATCATTCAACAACTTTTCATTTTAATGTAATCTAAGTTATAATTTTTTTCTTTATGAATTCCACTTTGTGGTTAATGTCAAGAAATCTAGGTCAAAAATAAATTCTACATGGTTTAAAAATGGTTTATATTCATAGTTAGGTCATTCATTCATCTGGAGTTCATTTTTGAGTAGGCTATGAGGTAGAGTTTATTTTCTTCTAGACAATTATTCCAGTTTCACTTATTGATGCTCTCATCTCCTCTGATTTGTTGTGCTAATTCTGTTTTATATATACATGGGTATCTCCTGGGCTTTCTATTCTGTTCTGTAAGTCTAACTTTCTATCCCTGTAACAATACTGGCATAGCTTTACTAACTATAAGCTTGTTTACTTTCCTTTTCCACATTTTTGTTGATGCTGAACCTTGCAAAAGGTTTATCATTTAATTTTTTAAAAGAATCTGCTTTGTCATTCTTGAGCCTTTCTATAGTTGTTTTTCTATATCTTTATTACTTCCTTCCTCCTACATTCTTCAATTTTACTGTTATTTTTATTGTAACATTAATTTTAATATTTGCCATATTACTAATTAATAAATTATTTAGAATGTTGTCTTAATATTTCCAAATCCTGAGGGATTTTTTTTGCTATATTTTTTATTATGGTAGAGAACCTGTTTTATACATTATCAATTTTTTTTTGCAATTATTATTTTATGACTTTCTAGAGGATACATTTTGTACTTGAAAATTGTGGGGGTCAGGGTTCTTTATATGTCAGTAGATCACATAATTTTATTGTGTCAAATTTCATATAGTCTTTCTTTTTTCCTGCTGATTTATGAAATTATTAGAAAAATATGTTAATATATTTCCCCATAATTTTGGATTTTAGAGCTTTTAAAAATAATTTGATTAATTTTATAAAATGTTTTTATTGATTTTAGAGAGAGAAGAAGGGAGTGGAAGAGAAAGAGGGAAATATCCATGTGGAAGAGAAACATCGGTTGGCTGCCTCCTGCATGCCCACTACTGGGGATCATGCCTGCAACCCAGACATGTGCCCTGATTGAGAATTGAACCAGTGACCTTTGGTCCATGGGATGATGCTCAACCAACTGAGCCACAACAGACAAGGCTAATTAATTTTATTTTCATATATTTTAAGGAGTCCTTTATTTTTTCTGGGGATTTAACTTCTTTTGAAATTATTTAATTACACTGTTTATTCCTAATAATATTTGCTTTAAATTAAATTTCTCTGATATTATTTTTGCTAAACCATTTTTCTCAGTAACTGCAAATAAATATTTGTTTTGGGGATGCTATACACATTCATATTATTTCTTTGTTATACAAAGCAAGATATTTTGGAAACCTGTACTCTAATCATTAATGTAATAACCTCTAAAAGTGCATTGTTATTAAATTAAGTATATTAATCAAACTTATTGTCTTATACTAGGGAAATTAAAAAATATACATATATATTATTGTTACAGATTTTGAACTTTTTAAACAGAGTTCCATTTCTAGGAAAGACATAATATTGCATGATTCTGAATTGTTAAAACTTTGCCCGCAAAACTTACCTTATTTCCCATATCGTTTTTTTTAAATCATACCCAAGGGTATGTTTTTATTGATTTTAGAGAGAGAGGAAGGGAGAGAGAGAGAGAGAAGTATTGACTTGAGAGAGAAACATTGATCAGTTGCCTCCCTAACCCACAACCTAGGTACATACCCTGACTGGGAATCAAACCCACCACCTTTTGGTATATGGACCATCACTCCTGGCCAGGGCTCCCATATCTTTAGTTCTCTCTGTTGCCTATACATTTGGAAATCTATTTATATACTTTCAGGTATAACCATTAGAATGTGAGCTCAATGAGGGCAGAAATCTTTATGTGATTAGTGTTTATGGATTAGCTTCTTATGCTCTCAGGCTCAAAAGCAGAGAGGGGCACCTAATAAGTGCTCAAAGAAGTCTGTTGAATGAGCTATAATAATAAAAGCGTAATATGCTAATTAGACTGGACAGCCAAACGGCCTTTTGGACATCCTTCTGGACGACCTTCCGGACGAAGACCGAGGCAAGCCACCTCAGATGCGAGGGCCGAGTCCCTTGCACGAATTTCGTGCATCAGGCCTCTGGTTGAATAATAAATGAATAAGTCCTGTTACATAGCAGCTGAACTGCTACCATGGACAAAACTTGCAGAAAAAAATCTTTTCTAAAATGTTCACATAATTTAGAAATCTGTAATTGAGAAATGTATATTTCCTATTAACTATTCAAGTTTATAATGTCTGGTGATATGATTTCTTCTCCTTTGCCTCTTTCTCTAAGCACACATTTGAGCTTCCATGCTCCCCTTTCTCAGGTAGAGATGTTCCTTTCCTCCTTCAGAATAGAAATACAACTGGTGTTTGAAGTAGGCCTGTTATTCTGCTTGCTTCACACATTCTCTGAGTTGAGGAACTACACTGTCTCCGGTTAATTCAAAATTTTATGTCATTTCATTTATGCTGCTGAATTGTGAGCTGCCATAGGACCTAATTCTTCTGAAATTAGGTGTCTGCTCAGAGGGCCTTGGATGGTGTTCTGAGCAAGCAGAGCTTAAACTGTCTTAATTGACTGATTAGCTCTTGCTCCTATTCCGGAATTCCCAGTGTCTGCTCCATCACATGCCTCAAAGGCATCTAAAAAGACCCACCTTCCTCTTTCTGCTTGGAATTAAATTGAACACACGGTAGGGCTGAAAGAAACTCATTTATGAATGTGTTAAATAGGGGGGCTGGGCGATATGTTCTCTGCCTTTCTTACTCTAAAATTCCAGGTTTCTGTGGGGTAGAGTAGTGTTGGGACCCAAAGGGGTGATTTTTAAGTTGCACTCTTTGAAAGTCTGAACAGAATGACATCCTCATTCTGCACACATCAAAGGCGCCAATTGGCTAACTGGCATCTCATACGTGGAGCGTGGACGTGAGTGATACGGTCCCAGGCGTAGCTACACACACCAGAGCTCTGATGTGAGTGCGTTCGAATCAGTTCTCGCTGTGAATGACATAGCGCAGCACGGAGCTGTGCTGTGACATCTAGCTTTTCATTCAGCGCAGAACAACAGTCGACATTTCATGCACTTGAATTGGGAGAATCACAGACTCTTGCAGCAATAGGCACTACTACTGAATTCTGGCCCCATTTTCTACTCCTTATTTTATGCTGTCTTCTCTTCAACTGTGCATTTCCGAGTTGGGGAATTGAGAATAGCATATCTAAACCTTAGTGAATAGGAAGTGCGTAGAAACTGTATGTGTCTCAATTATTAAGACATAAGAAGACTGACCTTGACATAACAGGGGGCATGTCAACCATGTCCACATAGAATGTGTCCCCTCAAACTCATGTGTTTTTTGGCAGGAAACTCCACTTGCTCTTTTCCCATTTGTGAGCTCTTTATTGATCATTCGAGCTGTTATGAACTCAGCTTCCCAAGTTCATAAAGCATGCAAAACTTTTATTTTAAATATATTTTTATTAATTTCAGAGAGGAAGGGAGAAGGGAGAGAGAGAGATAGAAATATCAATGATGAGAGAGAATCATTGATTGGCTGCCTCCTGCACACCCCCTACTGGGATCGAGCCTGCAACCTGGGCATGTGACTTTGACCGGAATCAAACTCAGTACCCTTCAGTCCTCAGGCCAACGCTCTATCCACTGAGCCAAACCAGCTAGGGCAGCATGCAAAGATTTTAACATTAAATTAGAAAATCTTCTTTTTATCCTATGAACTAAGATTTTAAAACTTGTACCATGCCCTCCTCCCCATCCCATCAAAATACAACTGGTGTTAGAAGTAACTCACTTACTGAGTTACTAAGAAGCATCTAATATACATTAGTGAGAGCAGTATTACCTGCAATCCCTGCATCGGCTTCAGCTATTGTACTTGAATAACTTGTTGCACATCCTTCCCATTTGAACAATAGGAGATGCACCTGTCAGTTGTCATGAATGAATGACACTGTCACCAAAGGAGGACATTTAGCCAGAGAGCTGTGCCCTTAAATAACGTGCCTGAAAGGCAGCAACGAGGTTGCTTGTGAAATAGTTAGAGAGATTATTTACACCAGTCACATTACAGTTTAATGTGACATCATGCTGTGTGTGCAAAAACAGAGAGCTTAAAGCGAGTGGCCGGAAAAGAATAAACTCTGTGGTACTCACACCAAGAATTCTTACCTTGTTTTCATTGAAATTAGCAATAACTACTCCAACAAAAAGGGTCAGTCCAATCATGCAACCCAGGAATACAAAAACATGAATATAGATTCCATGCATCTGTATAAATGAAAAATATGGTTATTCATCAAAGCAAGTGAAAGCAGCTGCTGAAAGGCTTGTGTTCAAAGGATTCCATGGGCTTGCTTACCGGCCCCACACGATGAATAATAACATCCCTCACTTCCACCCAGCCTTTCAAGGAGAGCACTTCAAACAACGCCAGCATAGCGTTTCCAACATTGTCGAAATTAAAGTTCCGAGGATTCGCCCTGAAAATCAGAAAGAGGAATGTTCTGTGAAATTCCGATAAGAAGCACCCCAAGGCAAATACTTGTAGCTCTTTCCAATCTTGGGTGCAGAGGGATGTTTAGCACTTGGAAGGTGGGCTATATGGGATTCTTTTGCTACGTCATAATGCTGTGTGTTGTAGATGATTAATTGTGTAATTAATTATTAGGTAATGATGGGGTGCTCTCAGTTGAAGACAACAAAATGCTACACAACTTTGAGTTCTAGCTCGAGAGGATCTGCAAACGTTTCCGGCTTGTCCTGATTATACTGAGGACTAGAATACACGTTCTAGTTAGAAACTGTATAGGCGATTCTCAAAGGGGCATGGGAGTCTGGGTAGGAATTTTGAAATTGGTTTTTAATTGGAAATCTTTCTAATGGCATAAATTACAATTCCCCGTGTTAGTACAGAAAATGTCAAAAGAGTAGAATTTGGCCACTTTGTTTCATTCTGTGTCCTCATGTGAACATCACCACATTGTAAAGTAGTGAGAGATCACTGAGAAGACACGATGTGTTTGCTCATAGCCCTTGTTTCCAGATCACTCTCTCCCAGTTGCATTTTTTTTCTCTCACAAACGCTGATGTTCTCAATGGATACTTCCTGTGTTCTCAGTGCACAGTATGCTTCTACACCCACAGCACATTCCCGATTACTAAAACATTGTGGCCTCATTTTTCAGGGGGAGAGGATGTCTTATTTCTTATTTTTCTGACATTTTTTTCTTCACAGTTACAAAAGTGATCTTTTCTACTCTGACATTTCCCTTAGTCATTACAGGTCTGAGCTACCATTTTTGTTGCTCATAGAAGAGTGAAGAGTTTTTTTTTTCTATTTCCCCTTCACTAGAGGCTATTTTAAGTAGTTAAAAGATTTAGACAACCACACACTGAAAAATTAGGACTATCACTATGTTTCTTGAATTTGATGGAGAATTGAGCTCAGGATTATTAAAGAGAGTAGGCCTACTGAAGCTTATCTGAATTATATTTTGATATTTTTCCCCCCTGCTAGTTCATTTATCAAAATGAAACCCTCACAAAAGGTAACCCACTTGGGGGCAATCTGGTTTAGCATTTTTGTACCACCATTTTTTTTTTAAGCCACAGAACAATCATGGGATGTATCCTTATAAGTTCTTTTTAAAATACTAAATAGATGGGGATCTAGTAAGAACATGTAAAACTGAAACTGACTTGCTTCTACAGGTTTAAGGCTATTTGGTAGAAAATGTTTTCTACATAGTGCAAAAGCACTACTCACAAATTCATATTCTAGGATTCTGATTTATATTTTTTAGTATGAAGTTATAAGCATGTTCTCTTGGATTTTTCCAACAACTTTTCTTTTGGGAGTTTCAATGAAATGGAATATATTTTACAGAAGACAGAAACGATAAGGATTTTACAGGTGCCACCATTTTCTCAAAGATTTTTTTAAACCAACTGAGCCAGCTCTCAGATCTGATGTTAAACTTTTTTCCTCATCCATCCACCCCACACAGTGATACTTACTTACTTGTTTGTTTGTTTATTTATTTATTTATCAGTTGAATTTATTGGGCTGACATTGGTTAATGAAATTATACAGGTTTCAGGTACACAATTCTACAATCCATCATCTGTACACTGTATTGTGTGTTTATCCCCCAAGTCAAGTGTCCTCTATCACCATTTATCCATCCTTTACCTTCTTCTTCCTCCTTCACCCCCTTTCCTCTGTAAAGTTTTGTGTGTGTGTTGTTGTTTATTTTTAGCTGAATTTGCAGCAATCAAAATTACTTTTAAAAGTAGAGTATGTTAAAAATACACTTTCAGGCTAACCCAAGAAAAGGAAAACAGAAGATCATAGACTTAAATAGTTGGAAGAATAGATCTCATTTAAAAGAAAAATAAGTATTTTTCAGCTTTCGTCATATAAAATATTTGTATATGCTTTGTTCATGTATTCAAAATTGGAAAGATTAAAGCTTTACCTACAACCACAGAGGACTTCAATAAATCCCAGTCTTCATCCATTACTGTCATTTTACCTGTAGCTCTTCCTTGACTTGGAAGGCTGTTTAAATATCATCTTTTCTGGTTAACTTTTAAAGATTATAATCTTATTTATCTAATTCAGAAAACTAAGACATTGGTTCTGACCTCACAACTTGGTCAGTCTTTTACCTTCCAATGAAAAGTGCACCAACGTCCCCAAGATCATGATAAGGAGAGTTTCCCTTCTCTGGGAAGATGGGGCACCGCGGAGGAAGAAACTTAGCCTCTACCGTTGGGTGTGAAAATACAGGGGATGACCTTATCCAAAATGGCCCCCTATGTCTTACAACTCTGCGATCTAGTCTAAAAAGTCAGAACCTTTCTGTACTTTCTAGAATACACTGCTTTATTTATTTATTTGTTTGCCTTGCACTTTGGCAACAGCAATTTGGGTTTCCTCGGTTTGCAACGCGTTACCTCCGTCAAGCCCCTCCCACTCACCTGCCCATGATTCTTCCTCTTTTCAGCTGCCTAATACCTATTTGTCCTTCAAAAGTTAACTCAGTGTCTTCTCCTCTGGGTCCTTCGCCCTGGTCTGGTCATAGTTGGGTAAGGTGCCTCTCCTGTGTGTGCCACTGCACCCTTTGCCTGCTGTATCCTATCCTGGCCAATATACCAGCAAGCTGCAGAAACTTACACCTCCGGCCTTTCCCTGGACAGGTATCTTCTAATATTTTGGAAGGGGCCCAGCATTGAGTTCACATGGTCCTATGTTTTTATTAAACTTACAAGAATAAGGTATTTTTATACTCTTTTTCTTAAAGGATGTTCCCAAATGGTTTGTGCCATATGGATTCTACAAAAATTTGATCTTCTGCTCTAGACTGTATGAGAGTGTAACTTAAAATTACCTAGAGGTAAGCT